GTCCCGAAAAGGTGAAATATTCGTACAGTTCATGCCCAGCTTTACCTGCAGATCGCTCCGCCTCGGACATTGGAGCGGTTGGCTGGTTCTATGATTGATGCTCTTCTTTCTTTGCCTTTAACAGAAGACAGATTCTTCCTTTTATTTTTAGGATCTCGCCACTAAAACTTGTTACCAGAGTTTATCTCCAATGTTTACGACTTGGCTTTAAACTAAAAAATTTAAAACTTCTCCCCCAAAGTAAATGGCAACAATTTCACTAAGTATTGTTGCCACTGACTTCATTTAACTTACTTTTCTTGACATAATTAGAGAAGATGTGATGATGTTCTGTTCAGGTGTGACGCCTTTGTAGGAGTGAGCTATTACTGCCATGTTTTGTTGAATAGACCAGGCCTGCCTTCTGTCTTTAATCTTAATCTTTCTCCTAGAGGATCGACAATCTTCACAAACTAAATGATTTTAATGATTTGATTGACTTATTGTCATGCTTAGCTTTTAACCCACAGCCACTGGAGAAGCTGCTGCCACTCTTGATTTAACGTAGAAAATACTCCTAGATCTGTTGATTGTGTTGTGTCTATTTAGTCCTCTAAATTTAAAGTTTAAACATCTGATAGCCTTTTAAATTAGACCGTTCTCCTGTTCAAAGGGACTAATTCCTGCCAGCTTTCTCAAAAAAATGCTTAAAGTAGAAAGATTCCTGCAAAGTAGCAAACTGGACTTTAATGGACATATTATTGTTTCCAGATGAGATTAGAAAATAAGTTTAATTGCATCACACCATAAACTAGGATTAAACTTGAAGATATGTACCTAAAATTGTATAAGTGTAGTTGGATTGATTAATTCCTGTGTATTAATAAACTAAAAGGAGGAGGAAAGGTGAAAGTGTTCAGCAGATTTTAATGACTAAATATGAGAGAATGAAAAATGACATAATTATTGAAATTGTTATTCTGCACCTTTCAGCTGTTGGACCACCTGCTGTCAGGAATAGAAGATGTGGTTGGCTACTGGGGGCAGCACTACTGGAAAGACAGGTTAGTCTGTCTGATGATGTTTCAGTCTTTCCCTAATCCTATGACACAAACCGCCACTAGGTGGCAGCAGATAATCTAGAGCATCATAGTAACTTTTTCCTGTGTGTTTGAGGTTTGAACAGTTTAACAAGAAGTATCTTCGACGTTTCCTAATTGGGGAGCATCACAGGGCCCATTCCAGCATCCTCAGAGTCTACCAGGAGGTGGAGAGGCGGGAGCAGCGGGGGGGCGATGAGGCCCCTCCAGTGTAAGGAGGCATTTATAAAAGCAGCTCAGAAAACTCACCCAAACATGTTAAGCTGGACTCTGGATTCTGGCAGGGAGGTCATGATTTTGGTCGTTTGTCGTTTTTAAAACCATTTATTACTTCAGTGAATTTAAAATATAGAAGAAGAAATGATAACTTATTTCTAATTTTCTCTAAAACACATGAAGTAAAAAATATTCAGAAGGTTTTGAAGAGATATAAACCGCAAACTTTTCTACAGAAACAACAATGAAAAAATGGCCGTCTAAAATAAGAAAAATCAATAAATCCCAGTGAAAAGCATCTAGAACCAAAAGAAATGATTGGTCCAAACACCAATATGTCTTGGCTATTGGCGGTGAAACAGGTCATCAGCATGATGCTACCACTACCTTGCTTCATATATAGCGGAATTTACATCTACACTTGAATCTGTGAGCAAAATGTTTGGAGTTGGTAAGCATAACTATTTTCATTTAACTAAAATCTAAACTTAGATGTACAGCTTAAAAAAAAAAGTTTATCAGCTTAGAACTTTTGATGGGAACTGTTGCCTCAACATTTGATGAGTTCTGGAAATGTATTGAGGTTTACAGTTTGCCTATGAGAGTTATGTTATAACTGAAGCCCTTCTGTATGAACCTCTCAGAGTAGACCCTCGTCCCAGCAGCCGCCCCCTCCTGCCTGAGGAAATCGACAGCATCAGACGCATCCTCTCCAGAAACCTTCACAACTTCAACAACAAGGTAGAAGACACACCTTCCTCTGAGTTTGCTTTTTGCATTCTGAATAAATGTGACGTCTTCATGCAGCAGACTGCTGCCTACAGCAGACACACCCTTCACCAGGAAGTCACAGCGGACAAAATGAGGAAGCCTCTGCACAGACATCGGAGTCTTCCGGAAAGACGCGTTGATAATACTATCACACTCTGCCCACAGGTACTCAGGAGAACACAGTTAGAAATCAGTGAGGCTTTTTTCATGTCTTTAAATGCCTTTAAACATGTTTAAAATAATCCATTAATGGAAACTCACCTTAAAGGGACTGAAGCTTTTAAAGAACATATTTGTTTTAACTTCATTGTGCTGTTCCTTCATAAAATAATAGAGCAGCAGCCCCTCCCTGTCCTGAAAACAAGTCATAATGAAGGTCTGCATAGTTCTGATTAGAAACCAACTTTTGGAGTTGGCTTTTAAGTTAAAGGTTCAATGTTCTTTTATTTAGTTTAAACCATGAAAATAGCTGCTAAAGAGATGCTATCAAAGAAAATAATAAAAAAAAAAACTAAAGGTTAGCCCCTTGGAGAGGCTTAAAAGTCAAAGGTTTGAGTTGTAAGTTTAAACTGTTTTGGGAGTAATCAGTAAGTCAGACTGGAAGATTGTTGCTACTCCTCCTCCTCGCCCAGAACTTCTGCATATGTGAAAATTTAAATAGCTTGAAGGAGTTGCCTCATTTATGCTCACATAATCCTCTTGCTGCAGCCAGGTTTCTGTAAGGCAACACAAGTCAATGTGATTATCACAAATCAAGTCATTAACTAGCCGACTTTTAGAGGAAAGAGATCTTATGTTAAACAGACCACATTTAATCGTTTTAACTTTTTCCCCAATTGGAGTTATTTTAATTTTAATTAGATTATCATGATTTACTCCTTTGGGAATATTTGCTAATTTATTAGATTTTGGTCGTGGGCAAGACACTGTCTGGATGGAGTAAAGAGTGGGTAACAGTAGAGAAGCTGCAGAGAGGTCTGTTAAACTATGACTCTACTTCCTGGTCTGCACCCTGGGGGGTCAGGGTTTTAGAGGACTAATAAATGTGACCAGATTCCTAGAAAAAGAAGCAAACACTCATTAGTTAGCTAAAGGAAACCATCAGAAGCAAGCAGGTGTTCTTCAAACTGCTAACGTGAATTGTCTATGCCAGAGGTCTTCAACAGGGGGTCCGCGACCCCTAGGGGGTCCGCGGAGGTACTGCATGGGGGTCGCGAAAGTTTTGGTTGATTACTTTTTTTTATATTCCCTCCTGCAGTTTTTTGCAGTAATTAAAATGTCTTTAAATCCACATTAACATGAATTCAATACACTGTAGTAAACAGATAAATGAAAGCAGAAGATGTCTTTCAGTCATCAAGGCTCACATTCAGCGACACACAGGATCTCTTTCAAACCTGGGCACCGTTTCATTCACAATACCTGTCCCATCAACCAGGAATCAGAATCAGAAATACTTTAATAATCCCAGGGAGAAATAACTTTCGTTACATGACTCCATCTGTAATAGAGTGACTGTAGGACCAGTTTAATATAACACAATTTCATACAATAAATATAATTAGGGGGTCCCCGCTCCATCTTGCAATCAGTTTGGGGGTCCTTGGCCTGGAAAACGTCGAAGACCCCTGGTCTATGCCATGCTACAATGTGGGATTTAGAAAAAGATGTTAAAATGTCTGAAAGGTCGGACACAGGCGAGAGCGTATCGGGAGACGGAGACCAACCAGACCTCCCTCATCCTTGGCCCTATCTCACAGGATTTATAGAAATAGTCGAAAATTGAGCTTTCAATTCATATAGCGGCATCTGGCTTTTTTTTTTAAAGGTTACTTTATACTTTTATACTTTGAGTAGTTTTTGGAGCACATATGTTTTCACTTTTACGTGAGTAAAGAGGTCAAGTTTATACTTCAACTTTTACCAGAGTGTTTTTCAACTTCAGGATCTATACTTCTACTTAAGTAACAAATGTGTGAACTTTTGACACCACTGGCCAGAAGTGGTGCGATTATATCTCAGCCACTTTGGTTAATATCATGAAATGGATGACAACCATCCAGGAAGAGGCTGCAGATCAACAAAGAGTCTTTCTTTCAGGATAGGCCCAGTAAATCCTTAGAACCTAGAACCTTTTAAGACACAGTTTAATCAAAAAGAAGTTTTAGGAGAATTATCATTTTGTTTACTTTTTCTGTATTTTCAATGTCAGCAGGAGGATGGAGAGTTTGCCAAGTCTTATAAAGGGAGAGCGCGACTCAGCAGGTCTCACACAGGTATCTGACACTGATGGTATAACTACAGCTGAAGCTTTAAGATGCTGAGCTTCTCATATTCCCATCTGAAAAGTTAGAGGAGCCCAAAGAGATTTAAAAGACTGATCTCTACAGTCACTAGTTTGTCAGCTCCGAGCTGCCGTAGAACAAAGATGGCTGCCTCCATCAATGTGTGACCTCATCATGTGACCCAGTGTGAACCCAGTTCTGCTGTATTTTCTGCCCTTCCTGCAGTGTGCTCAGCAGGCCCAAGATGGTCCAAGCTTCCTGCCCCATCAGTCCAAGCAGCTCAGCCAGTAGATCCAGAAGCTGCTGCGGTTTGTCCACAGGACGCCCCCCCGACAGAGAGAGCCACAAAGAAACAACTCAGCTTTATACTGGAGGAGGAGAAACTGGTCTAAAGGCAGCGAGAAAGAGAAGAAAAGTTAAAGTCCTAGTCCCGTTGTTATGGAAACCATTCACATGAGGCTTGAATGAATGAAATGCTTCTACCTTCTTGTGTGGTGACTTCAAATAATAAAGCTGTTTTAAACCTGCATGTGTGAAGTGCAATGTTTTAGGAAATCAACCTGTTTTATGAATGACCAACACACTCAGCGGTAATCTGATGATGACAAACTTTACCAGGTCCCAAAATAACTTTCTGTTCCCCCATTTAAGCTTCCAGTTCCCAGCATGCCAGGGAGTGGCTGGGACAGCCGGAGAGCAGAGGACCAGGGGAGAGCAGAGAGTTTAGGAGGACATCAGTGTGAACCTGAAGACTTCAGGCATCCAGAAGAGAGGACTGACAAAGAAGGTTTAAGAATATGAGAATAGGAGCTGCAGCTTTAGCGGGGGGGATTTTAGGGGTAGTAGGAACTTTGTGTTTCCTTGTGGCCTTTGGTACAGACTATTGGCTGGTAGCCATTGAAAACTGTGGACAATTTCTGCAGCCAGGAATCCCAACGCAGGACAAAGACGCTAACCGGACCGAGGTAGGGCGCTGCTAAACCTCGACCTCCTTCAGACAAAACAGATGTACCATAATTTAAGTTGATGTGACAGCCACTAAAAGACGACTATGGAACTGGCTCAGAGGTTTTGTAAACAGTGGCATGCAAGATATGTCTCTAGGATACTTAAATACACACTAAAGCTATGCAGGCCTAAATATGTAGAGCTGATATAGGAGCCGCAGAGCAGATGCTGAGGAAAAATAATTAACTCAATATTTTATAAGAAATGTAATAGAAAAACATAAAGCAGTACATAAATGTAAGGTTACAAATATAAATGTTTCTCTCAGAAATGCAGGAAAATAAGACTTCACAGCCCAACCAGAGGCTGGAACCCCACCACAAACCATGTGGTGGAGGCAGCATTACGTCGCTCCCTAAGCGACAGGAACGCCAGGAAAACCTTAGTGGAATAAGGAGGGATGGCCTAGTCAAAGTCCAAAATCCTTAAAAAGCATGGAAACAGGCTCTTCATATCCTGTCAGACTGAGCTAGAGCTGCTTTTGCAAAGAGGAATCTGCAGAAAAAAATCCTCATCATCAAAGTTTGTGGTTAGAATTTCAGTGCAAACAGACCTTCATGGTAATTTTAGAAAGGAAGATGCTCATTCTTATGAATGGTGGGTTTAATGTCCTTGCATTTAAGTGACAGACTGTTTAATGATTTGTTTTAGTTGGAGCAACCAAATAACTATTAATTCTGTTTCTTTGGAATGCAATTATAAAATCAAACATAACTCATACTATGGTCAGCCAATGCACAGCCTGGGAGGGATCCCACAGCCTCAAATCAACGGATCTGCTTGTTGAGAATCATTAAAGTAGTCCTTTCATCTATCCCGCTTTTATTTCATATGGCATATGTGGAAAAAGGAGAGATGGATCTATTTATGAAAGCGAATCCCCCTGTGAACTCATCACTGCCACAAAGTCTTTCATTTTCAATAAAAGAAGATGATTAAAGCTGTTATGTTACACAGCGCCATCAATCATATTCCTGACAAGCAAGAGGAGAGTTTCATTCATGCGTGTTCATGAGTTCCCTCCAGGAAACCTCTCAGACCAGCAGGCCACGTTTGATGGCGCTCCGCCACTGAAGCAAAGAATGACACAGAGCTGCTTTCTGACACAAGAAAAACATTTAAGTTTCTGTTTCTGATGTCTCTTCCTCTATTTCACATCCAGATAAATTAAGCTGCATCTGTTTCTGCTTCTCAGCTCATTCTGCACCATGAGGGATTTTTCTGGCGATGTATGTTTGAAGTGGAACCTTCGTCCAAAGCCTCGTTGTTCTGTAGGTTGAAAAATAGGAATTTATTAAGGATATTCTACATTTTCTGATGTTATTTTTGTCATCATGATGGCAGGATGAGATTTATAACTATTTATGTTGCCTGTTTAAACTGCAGCAAACCAGCCTGAGTATAAGGTGTGCATCCATGGTTACCTCTTCCCGCTGCCAGTGGCCATTGGGGACGTTCCTAACCACATCTATGACGCTACAGCAGGTAAATGCTTTCAGTGGTCCCACGGTCAGCCATGAATGCAAGTTTACACATTTTCTCTCTGATGAATGATGCAGTAAAATCGAGAAGCTGAACTGTTGACGTCGTTCTTTTTTCAACTTTGCTTGATTTGTTCGTTTGCAGGTTTTACAACCGCTAACAAATTGTATTAACAGCGACAGATATATTAAGAAAAATGTGAAATTCTGATTTCCTCCTCTACCACAGAAAAATTCGTTAAAAGTTACTTAAACAGACAAAAAGTTTAGACACAGATAAAATGTGCTCACTATTTAAAATGAATCTTAGGACAGAGCTGTTAGATCCTTTTCTGCCACTAGCAGCCTTTATCTGATAGTGAACAGACTGAATATGGGGTAAAGATAGGAGGAAGACATGTGGCAAAGGTCAACAAGCTGGGACTCAAACCCTTCACCTTTAGCACTATGGCCGTGTCATACTCTTCACCTGTGAGCCATCGCTGTGCCTCCTTAAAACCTCCTCAGCACAAGCTGAACCTTTTATTCAAGCTCCTCCCTTGTGCCGATTGCTCTGAATCCTGCTCCCACGCCAAAAATCATTCTGCCAACTCAAATTTAAGCAGTAAAGGAGCCCGCTACTAGTGACAGGACTACTAGTGACAGGAGCCCGCTACTAGTGACAGGAGCCCGCTGCTAGTGACAGGAGCCCACTACTAGTGACAGGACTACTAGTGACAGGAGCCTACTACTAGTGACAGGAGGCCGCTACTAGTGACAGGAGCCCGCTGCTAGTGACAGGAGCCCGCTACTAGTGACAGGACTACTAGTGACAGGAGGCCGCTACTAGTGACAGGAGCCCGCTACTAGTGACAGGAGCCCGCTACTAGTGACAGGACTACTAGTGACAGGAGCCCACTACTAGTGACAGGAGGCCGCTACTAGTGACAGGAGCCCGCTGCTAGTGACAGGAGCCCGCTACTAGTGACAGGAGCCCGCTACTAGTGACAGGACTACTAGTGACAGGAGCCTGCTGCTAGTGACAGGAGCCCGCTACTAGTGACAGGACTACTAGTGACAGGACTACTAGTGACAGGAGCCTACTACTAGTGACAGGAGGCCGCTACTAGTGACAGGAGCCTGCTGCTAGTGACAGGAGCCCACTACTAGTGACAGGACTACTAGTGACAGGAGCCCGCTACTAGTGACAGGAGCCTGCTA